TTTCACATAGTCCTAAATTCTTGCCTGGTTCAGAAGTATGAAATTGGTCTGTCTACCAAACTCCAAATCATCACTTTTCCTATTCTCTTAAGCACTGTAAATGCAAAAATTCTCTCTGATTGCCAACTTTAAAACAAAGGAAAACACCCCAGAAAGGCTTTCTGTTTCAGGGAAATGAAACAACTCATCAGTGGCTCTGAAGTAACTGCTCTTAATCCAAATTCAATTAAAGATGGCCTTGTTCACTTTTAATAACAGGTGAAACTACCTGATTTTTCTTTGAGTCTATAGAATTAATATCATATATCAATAACTTGATACTTTACTGCCCACATGATACCAACTTGTTTTTACAGTGAGGTAGTTTAGAGTGATTTAGCCTTAATTAAAAGAAAAGTAGGATATTTAAGCCATTTTTATTAGATGTAAGATCCATAGGCAGAATTGACAGGGAAACTGCTGGTAAGCTTATCTGAAATAACTGCTGGATGCTCACTGTTTTTCTCTGATAAATAATTAGGCTCTTTCATGTTTGATGAGGACTGGCTCTTTCTGGTTACCTTACTCATCACTGATCACAAATAAACATGTACTTATTTTGCAGTACATCTGTATTTGTTCATCCTTTTATGTATCCACCCTCCCAGTCCAGGTGTTGTGTCACTTTTCATCATGTCCCACTCAAAACTAATGGGATGGCTCCAGCCCTTTCACTTTCCTGTTCCTGCTAAACTCCTCACTTCAATTCTCCAAGCAAGAACGCCTTGATAAACTCACAATCTTACCTACACTGTCTTGTATCTTCAACACAATATAGGAATCCTTCTCTGGGTATCACAGTTGAGCCTATTATGTTAAGATAAATAGGATTTGAAAAATAACTGGGAACTGGATCCAGCTAAGGTGTATGTTTGGAGTGTGCTTTGGCTGTTGATTCCATACTTTTGGACAGTATTCGAAGGCACATGGCTGCTACTCTGTATGACACTGCATATCTGTCTGGTTCAGAAGTTTAATACTCTGGCAATTTTTCTTATAATACAGTTGATTTTATCTGTACAGCTCTAAATCAAACCTGAACATGATAAGGCGCTGCCTTAGATAAGGGATTTTCTTAAATTCTGCTCAATCTAATCATACAGGAAAAGCTGTGGCAAATCTGCTAACATAAACAAGAACTTTTAAAAATGCAAGCTCATAGCCAAATGGATAGTAGGTAAATGAGCTGATCAACTTCTGAGCAGCAGTAAACAGAACAAGTGGATATTTATTCTAGAATAGGAAATGAATATATAGATGGTTTATTGTCATTCTCTCGCTAACAAGAGGCAGACAGAAATGCTAGAAAAATAAAACAGCCCTAGAGTTAGAAGTCTAATTTTTTTATTTAAATAAGAAACATCATTAAAAGCAACTGAACAAAAGTAGCTCCCATAAAAAAGGCAAGGCCAGCAGCAAGAGTTAAGTATATGTAAATGGGATTTACTTCACTGAGAGCAGTGTACTCTCAGCACCTCAGAGGATTCATTCCAGTACAATACGGCAAGTGATTATGAAGCAAATATGCATTACCTTAAATAAACCAAAGTGAGAGACAAAGCAAATTATTTTGAAGTGCTTTTACTCTGTAATTTCATTAAAGGAGGTTGTTTATTCTCAGAGGAGAACTAGAAATTGAATATTGAAATCTAAAATTACAGAAACGTAAATCTGTTTATGGACCAAGGTCAAAGAGAGTTTTATTAGGACCAAGGCTACCATCGACACTGTTAGAAATATTTTTAAAATATTTTGCAATTTTGGATATTAATTTCTTTTTGCTTTTATTAAACATCCTCCTCTCTACTTTTGCTTATTTTCCATGGCTCCTAACTGAAGAACTAGTATCAGGGTTTTTCCTTATTTTACTTTGCAAAACTCCATTGGAATCAGGAATTAAGTGCCTCACCTTGGAATAAACAGATGGTCTAAATTGTCCTTGCCCATTAATATTGCCCTGCCTAATATTAATGTGTGCTAACTCCCAATTGCCTTAAGGTCTTACTTAACTGGGAAAATCATTCTGCTATCTGCATGGAGGGAGTCTGATGGGAAAATCAAAGGAGAAAAAGGAGTGGAGGGGAAAAGGAATGGGAGAAAGAAAAGGGAAAACAACAGGGGTTCTTTACTGAAATAATTCACAATTCAGGACTGTGACATTTTCTTACTTTTTGATCTGTTTTCCTATTTGCAGCAAAGTCACTGATGCCAAAAAGGACCCTTCATATGCTATGCTAGAATCATACCAATCTATAGAGGAAAAAAGCAAATGAGATCAGCTTTATGCTTATTTTCAGAGGTAAACCATACTGAACTACTGAATTTGGGGGGAAAAAAAAGAAATAGAAGTTTCATCAAAAGACATACGGCACATTAAATGTTATGTACACAGTATTTTTGAAGTTGTTGCAACATATTTTTCTCTAACGAAACTGTAAGGACTGTGGGGTGGCTTTCATCTGTCTTTTAGCTTTTAATTGGTTTTATGTCTCTTTCCTTTATATATAAGTATGCATACACCCACACAAAGATTCAAACATACATATGCATACATTCATTTCATTTATAAATATTGATTAATATTCTTAATAATGAAAAAATTCAAGCAGAGATCCTACTCCCCATCATAGTTCTGAATTGTAAGTCATCTTTTGGATCGCTCTGAATTGTCTCGTGGTTCTTTGTAAACACATTTGTAAATTACAATATTGTAATAATTGTCATGGTGCTTGATATTTACATCAAAACACTTCAATATAGCACAATCACAGAAACTTACTTCTGTACTCAGGGGTTGGGAAGCTTGAGTTCTGGACTTCTATAGTACTTCTAACATTGTACTGTATGCAAGTTGCCAAATAATGGTATTTCATTTTAATATAAATAAAATACTGTTTATTTGTAATCGGCTATCCAAGAGAGAATGAAGAAGAAGATGGAAGCAGAAGCAGCAAGTAGACAAGCAGATGTGGATGTGCACTTGGATACCAGACCTCTGGATAGCAAAGGAGCATACAGTACCCAGCACCCTGAAGATCAACAGCTTGAAAACACTGTCAGGAAAGCTCTGCACTGACTGGGGCATGTCAGATCACAAGATAATGCTCTCACAAAGGGATGCACAGGAGTTCAGCTCACTATACCTCCTCCTGCTCAGAGAACCAGCAGAAGAAGCAAGCTGGACAATCTTCAAATTTTCTGTAGGTCAGTTTTACCGAGTCTTTGGAACAGACCCAAATAAATTCCGTGGTTGAAGCTCATTTTGCCTTTGAGACTGACTGTGAAAACCCCACCAAACAGAAACACAATGGTGATGGAGCCTGGGAAGCAGCGGGTGCCAACAATGCCAGACTGGAATGATGAACTCAAGCAGTTTGGCCACTTATAATTCCACAACGGATGGGGATGTTCCAGGAACGAGGAGATGCGCAAGGTTCACAATGGCTTATTCAGCATCCACAAACACTGAATAAAGAGACTCGAAAAAAGAAACACACACAACCACAAAAGCCAAGCCAGGAGAAGCACTGAGTCGGGGAATTGTTTTAGAGAGATGAACATGACAACTCAATGGGTATGAAAGGCTGGACCCAGATGGCAGGAGGTAAGAAAAGATCATAGCAATTACGATGCAGCACAGCTGTCAGTGACACAAGGACAGATCACACCGCTGGTGTCAGGAAAATGGAAGAGGATCTTTTCATTGCTGTGGGAAGATCAAGGTATTAAAATTACATACGTACATACGTCAAGAAGTGAAGACCAATTGCAGGACAGATACAGGAACCTTTAAGCAGCTCCTTTTAGGATTGTGTATATGGCTTCAGAATGCCTGATCCAAGAAAGCCTGGCAAATGTTTAAGACCTTCTATAGTGCTTTGCAAAAAAAAAAAAAAAAAAGTTATGTGACTGAGATCACTTTCTGTGACTTCTGATATGTTTGGGGAAGGCCAGTGATGCCACTGGGGAATCTCATGGATGGAATGAAGTTTGTTGTCCTAATCATCTTCGTACTTGATTGGGCTTAAACAATGAAAGGGTGCTTTTTCAAAACCATGTTTGGGAACAATTTGTTTTGAGCATCTTGGGTCTCACAAATCACTATTGTTTTGAAACCACTCAGGAGAGTGGAATAGGTTACAAATTTACATACATATGGTCTGTACTTGAGTTAGAGGATAACGAAAGTGTCATGGGGCTAAACTAGTGTGAAAGAAAAAAAATCATGAAGAGCAGTCATTGCTTCTTTGTGGTTCTAGCATACTCCCAGAGGCTCAAAGGCCAACAGGAGAAGAAAAAAAAAGTTTAAAAATGTAAAAAACTCATTGCTTATGATATTACTGCTGCCTTTCTTTATTTCTCCAAAAGGTTGTGTGTAAAAAGCTTTTAGTGTTCATTGAAATAACTGGGTGGTATTAGAGCATATAATCACTGTGCTTGCAATAGTACTTGAAAACAGCATATTCATTAAAATTTAAAATATTTTGCTGGCCTTCCAGAGTCTTTTGCTAAACCTAGTGTGCATTGGAACCTGAGTGAATGAATCCCATTAGTCATCACCATCTTAACAATATGCACTTCATAGAGAGTTGGCTTCTGCACAGAGGAAGGAAATTACCAGTACTAGCAAAGGAAAGAATATTTATAATGAGCAAATATACAAAAGCTCCAAATAATTATAATAGTCACAGCTTGGCAATGACTTTCTAGGCTATGAAATTACTTTTCTTTTGGAAGAATGAAGATTCTACAAGGTTAGTATAAACAAAGGGTAATTGGAAAATCAAATTGCTCTCCACAAGTTATTGTAAGGCCTGGAATAATGGTGATAGAATTAAAAAAAAAAAACAAAACTTGCTTACAAATCAGTGGATTTTTGTTTTGTACATTATTGCAATCAAAAATTCTCCCTTTCAAGTGCTACATGGGAAACAAATGGCAAAACACAAATCCCAGCTTACCCCTGATACAATGAGTTCTCCTCCCAGGTTCTGAACTTCTGCCTTCACTTTGCTGCAGATATTGAGCTGGTGGCAGTACAGGGCAATGCGCTGCAGGTAGGCCAGCAGATCCTGCTTGCAGGCTGAGTCTGGGCACTGCAGACAACACAAATACTGATTAGATGGAGCTGAGTTAATGAGATTAGAGACAGGTAATCAGATAAGTGGCGGTGTGTATGTATTTGGTGGATCTGTTCCACTTTGTCTTCACATGAGGTACTAGAAAAAAATCTGAAAACTCAAATTCTACCTTTCATTTAACTCAAGATTTATGAATTGCAACCTAAAGATGGAGTCTCCTTTCTGAAAAATAAGAAACCTCTTTATTAGCATTATGAAAATAATAATTTTAATTTCTGCTCTGCATTAATTTATAGAATTATACTGAACAGCCAAAAAGTCAGGCTTAACTTGAAGCTCCAGGTTGCCTACTGGACATCCAAGTTAACGTCCAGTATGGACCAGTTAATGTCCAGATAAACCCAGTTCTGAGTGGTTACCCCCAGTCCAATTCCAACTCCTGTCGGCCTGGCAGCACCCCTGGCATTTGTGCAGACATTCAGAGGATTAGATTAGGTCGAATGTGCTGGATGCTGTGAGGGTTTCATAATCAATAGAACTAGAAAGGGCCCCAGTACAATTTATTCATAGTCTCTGGGACTCTTAATAGAAACTGCATCGTCCCTCACAATATCAACAGCATAACAAACAACAGCCTTGTAGTTAATATTCCAAGTCCTGCCTCAGGAGAACAGACCTCAGTAATTCACTCTGACGAAACAGAGCTAAAAGGGCCCAGTGCTAACAGCATGTCTGCAGTAAATACTCTTTGGGGCTACCCAGCAAAGTCTGACTGACAATGTCCCTACATAGCCTGGGGAACAAAGATTCCAAATATGCCTTTTTATCACCATACAGAGTTTATGCTCAATTTAAAAAAAATATCATCAGAGCCTTTCAAGAAAAACTGGTAGAATTAAATGCAAATGAGTCAACAACATCACAGCTCCAACCTTGAGATCACTGCTCTGGCCCCAGCAGTTAATGCTGGCAAGGAATGTGCTCATGTTGAAGTAGTTGGATATATTGTTGTCTATAACCCCAAAGGGAGTCACTTGGCTTTTTTCTTGCCCTTTAAAGCTAATAATAAACAAAGCTGGAGCTTCACTATAGAGCCTCTCTTCCTCAGACAGTTGCCACAACTTTCAGGCATTAATCCCTAAAAGTCCTCTTCTCCCTACCACTGCAAATTTAATATAAAAATATTTACTTCTTGAAGTCTAGGAACTGAAAGGAATGAATCTAAAGCAATACTTCTGAAGAGTTGTAAAGGCTTTAAATATAAATACCTTGGAGTGTAAAAAAAATGTAAGGGCTCTTCCACAGGAATAATAATTAAAATTGCTACTGTCCACAAAAAGTTTATATTGCATGAGGGTCTCCAGAGTTCTGTGAAACATCATTGAAGTGCAAGCAGTTAAAACCAATACTTCATTCTCAAAATAATTTCACTGTTTATTATTAGGGTTACAGTCCTTTGAAATTTAAAATATGACTCAAGTCAAGGCACTCTAAGCATAACAAGTCTCCTTCTATTTCTTTCTTTAAAATATTCCACCTCTGCAAATACTGCAGACCAGGAATTTCATCAGCTGACAGATAGATTTTTTCTTTCTTGTGTTAAAATGAAGAGATGCTACATTTGAAGGACTGAAATGGATTAACTACAGGAAAAATACTTGCTGCTGCTGAAGAAGACCTAAACCAAATATTTCTGAGGTTAAGGAAAATGGACAGCTTTGGGTTTTTTGCCACTCTGGCCCATATTCCATGGCAGGGTGTGTTACACACTATCACAATCCTAATTGAAGAAGAAAATGACATTCTTATTTTGAAGAGAAAGACTAGAGGAACGGAAGTTACCAGTTCCCACTTCCAGCAAATTTTCTCTTGATGAAAATGAAATGAAAGAAACTATATGAAATTTAAAAAGGGAAAAATAGAGAAGCTTAATTTGCCTGAATCAAAAATTAGCTGTGTAGCACCTGGATTTGAAATTTGGCTCTTGACTTTTAATATGATGCTTCCTCTTGCTCTCCAGATCAATAGACAATCCAATCTGAAAATATATATACAGCAAGGTCATCTGTCCAGCTGTGACATGAATTTGGTAAAGGAAGCGGGGACACAGACCCTACAACATGCAGAATACAGTGAGGCAAACCAGAAAATAGGGTGTCAGAGAACCTTGAAGGAGTAAAGAGCCAAATCAAGGGAAAATTGCTGGAAAAATGAGCTGGAAAGAATCTAAACATTCCTAGGGACTTGGCAAAGGGAACGGAGCATCCAATTCCTGACTGCTTTTTTAACAGCAAAGTCATTTTGGATGTTATGATCTCACAGGTGTTTTCCAACCTGAAGGTGTTTTTCTAACAGGCCCAGAAGTGAGGCTGGGGAACAAGTCAGGCATTTCTGAGCTTTGGAGAAACTCATTTATGGCTTTCCCGTTCTGCAAAATGCTGATGGGTTTAGAAGAACCAACTTCTATCCAACGGGAAGATCAGGATCCAGGCTCTCAACAGGTAATTTTCTGGTAAGACAGACTTCTCCTGCAAAAGGCAATGCATCCATAGAGGTTATGTTGTATTTCAGCTCATTTTGGGGCTACCTGATCAGCTACTGCCCGTGCCAATTTGTCCATCCTGGATCCTGCCTCTGCAATCTTCTTGGCTGCATTAATGACATCGGATGTGTTCTTCAGGGGGCCTTTCCCTCTGTGAAACACAAGACAGTTACCCACAATCTCAACAAATCACGAAAGGCGCCAGTTTTAGTGACCCTGTTTAGTGCTCATTTTTAAAATAGTAACATGAATGTCTTCTTAATTTATTACTATTTTGCCTTTTAAGTACTTTATAGTACAGCTTGATTAAGAAATCTGTCTGCTGTATTTCCTCTCCCTTACAAAATGCCTCACTGGCAATTTAGTCCGATGGTGCCTTCAAGCACATGAGCTGTACTTAATAGTAGATGCATTTGTAAGTGCTCATTAAGCCAATGTTGTTGCTGGAATACACAACTATTTCAAAATGATGTGATTCCCAAGCCAGTGCTAAATGTTCAGCCCATCATGTCTAGGGCAAGAATGTCACATTTTAGAAAATCTATTTGTAGAAGATTTTTTGTTGGAAAATAAAGAGAGGTGAAGCACAATCATTATGTTACACACTTGAATGTTGCACTTAAAACATGTATAATTAGCTTTAGGCCTGATCTTTCACCATATTTTTAAGATGTTGCACAAAATTATGATTTTAGTCATTAAAGCTACCAAAATTTATTATGACAGAAGGTCTCCACAGACTTCTGTGAGTTTTCATCAGACTCAAAACTTCAATCCTGCTTGTACCAATAAAATTGCTGCTGCTCTTGAGAAAGTCTCAACTGGAAGTGAATTAATTTTCCATTTATTTTAATGAGGAAAATGACAATATGATCAACCTTTTTTTAATTAAAGAAAAGGCATTTTTTCTAAGCACAACACCTGCATTATTTTTTCATTTTTTAAAAAATCTATAATGGCAATAATAACATGCTGAAACGTATTTCCACTTTAATCTTCTTTCCAGACTTTCATTACCACTTTAAACAGATGAAATACAAGTATCCCACTTCTGGTGAACTTAAACTGCAGCAAAAATACTTCTTGGTGACCTTGTGTGCTTCTACATTAATTACATGAGCAGCTCTGACTGTCACAAGCTCCATGCATTTGAAAAATTATTCTATTCTAACACTGCTGAGGTTACAGCCAAACAAAAAGGTGTGAAAGGTTTGTTTCTGTTTTAATGGAATATATTAAACAACTTGTTATTGAATCTGATGCAGATGGAAGTGCACTTTGATTTTTTTTTTTATTTACTTCAAATGTGTCAGTAGTCTTTATCTCATTCTCAAATTAGTTTTGTTCTTTTGATGCTAGAAAATGCAATTATAATTTCATGGCCAATATATCAAAGGTTGTCCAGGAGGCTGCAGAAACTCTGCATATTCTGGGCTGTTGCTTTAGAACATAATTTCTTACTTCCGTGATACAATGACACTGTTTGGGCAGATTTCACTCTATTTTTTGTTGACAGAAGGATCAGAGACACCAAGACAATACAAATAAAAAAGTAACACAGAATCCTGTAAAATATCCTCTCTATCCATTTCCACCCCTTGCCACTATCCCAGGTTGCTGCGAGCCTCAACCAACTGAACACTTCCAGGGATGGGGCAACATAAAGAGATGAATAAATGGATGTCTGATTTTAATCCTGAAAAAAAAACCCAGGAAGATTTTCATCCTGTTTTGTGTAATCACATTTTGATAAATACCATTTAAACTTTTGAACCCACTTCAAAAAAAAACACTGTACAAAATATAATTTACTATGGTGATCTGGAATTCGAAGTCTTGTAAACCTTTCTCCCTGGTGTGATTAACAATATGACCATAGTAAAAGACAATAATTCTGTTTACATTGTATCATTAATAAGTGACCTTTTGACTCTCTGCAATTAGAGAAGAATAAGACATCAATAGAGAAGAGAAATGAAAGCAATAAAAAAAAAATCATTACTGACAGGCTCCCATGAAGCATTAGATCAAACCAGTTTCATTTCATTTGGGATTTTTTTGGAAGGAAGTTCAGTGATCAAATGATATAAATAGTTTTGCCATTATTTTTGATTGACACAAATTGTGCTCAAATGTTGAAAGTTCAGAGAGGCACATGCATTTAGATGAGTACTAAATGAAATGTCACTGAAGTGTCTGTAAGGTCACAGACTAACTTTACAAAATGATCTGCAAATAAAAGAGACTTGCAAATAACACAAAAACTTCATATGATTAATCCCACTTGGACAAATACCCAGGGCAATGTATATGATGAGCATTCCTTGGCTTTGCATCTCCACAACAACAGCAAATCATCTCAAAAGGGTAGAAATCCAGCAGAAAAGAGAAGATGTGGCACACCTGAGCTCCTCAGCTGGGCTTATTTTGTCCTTACCTGGTGAAATCTGTCATTTCCATCATAATCATGCACATCTGCTTGGCCAGCACAATGATGTCATTGCCACTGTCATCCCACTTGGCCACCTCTGCATCCAGCTTGCTCTTTTCTTGGTGGAATATCTCCACCTGCTCTGCAATCTTTGCCTTCTCCTCCTGGGGCAGCTGGGCCATGATAGCCTGGAGAAAGAACAGGAGTTGGGCATGAAAATAGGAAGCTACAAACTGGATCTTTCCAGTGGTCCCAACTGCATGAGTTTATTTTTAAGGGAGATGAAGATGCCAAGCAAGATCCTGTAGGAATTTGATTTCTGCCAGGACAGGTAAAAGCACATTCATGTTTATGCCTCTTGCACTTTCAAGATGATAAAATTTATATTTCTGATGTCATGATTATTTACCAGTTGACAAAGGAGAATTAAATCTCAATTTTGAGGAAGAATAAAAAGAGTGACATTTATGGGAAAAGGCAGACTGAATTGCTGTGTCTCCCCTAGTCTCATCCTCTGTCACAAAAAGAGGATTTCAGAATAACACAACACTAAAATAAACTGTGACACACAAGACAATACATTTGAAGTGAATTGTAACAAATGTATCTTTTAATGATATTTATGGATCCAATTTTCTCTTGGAAGGGGTGCAGAAAGAAACTGAACAGGTTGGTATTGATCTCCCCCAGCATGAACAAAGCAAGAAGTTCCCGCTCCCCTCCAAAAAAACCCTAAGAAAATTATAAATTATAATAATGACTTTTGAAGATCAAATGGATACTTTGAATAATGATTTCCAAGTTAAGCTATTATTTGGCTCTAGGGGTTCTGAAGACCACATTATGCATTTAATGGGGTGTGACACATATTTAAGTGTCGTTACATTTTTTTCTTGTTTATGTCACTTTCAATCAGCTGAAGTCTTTTTCTACATATTCTTAAAATGCTCTTGGCTTTTAAAAATTCGTAATTGACCTTTTCCCAAACTGAAATTAAAAAGGGTTATAAACAGTGGATCAGAAAATGAGAAATTTGCAAGTTAATCAAATTAAAATTCAAGATGAGTTTTAATTAGGCCTTATCAATGTAACTCAGCAGTTTCAAATGTTAGCATAATAGTCTTTGCACAGAAAATGCAGTGTAAGTCAACCTAATAAATAAATATATAAAATGCACATAAAACAACAGAACTATGGAATTAACTGAAGAGCATGTGATAGGAGTAGTGAAATTTGGGAAGTTTATCTGTATGACTTGCCTGGGGTTTCTTCAAGTGGCTGCTTCACCTGAACACTCTTTACACTGGTAAACAGTGCTTTAATATTTCTGTTCCAGCTGCTGATGTGCTTTCAAAGCAGCCATATCCTACAGCAAATGCAGCCTGTAAATTCCAGCTTTATTTCTACTGAAGACCAACATAAGTCTTTGTGCTAAAACAATACCAGCTTTATGGAGTAAGCATATTAAACAAATCCATTACATTGCATGAATAAAAATTTTGCATCTTTTCCACAGAAAATGTTCAGGTAAGATTCTGTTCTTCTTAGACCCTCCAGACTGGGGACTAGGCAGCCTCTGCTTAGCATTGTTTTCCTTTTAGGTTTTTATGATTTGTTGCTTCTTGTGCCATGTTATTCAGGAATTGTCTTTATGATATATTATGTTTATACAGTGTGTCGCTGATCAAAGCAGAAGGATTTAAGTGTAGCAGTAATAATAATCACAATAAATGTAATAGAATTTAGGGCTCCTAAATCCCCAGGTGAACTCAATACTTAGTAAGAAAAATTACTGCAGTCTTTATTTTGGTTCCAGATCAAGAAAGGATGACATGCTATCCAGTCCTAAATGTAACCAAAAGGATGAGAAAGGCTGTGAAATCTGACAAAATAATCTGCACTGTATCTCAATTCTGTTATACCTAAGATTTGCTTCAGTGGTCAATACTTTGAATATCTCAAACAGGAGTTTATGCCCTTTAAATACAAAAATCACAAAAGATAGTCAACTACATCAGAACATTTCTGTCAGCAGTCTCACAGTAAGGAATCCAGGTATTTTCTGCCTTAGGGATGTCATGATAAAACTCCCATTTTTCTGATACATGGTATGGTTTATTTACCATCTATATTCAGTATTCAGGGAAACAATTTTAAGACAAAAAGAAATCTCTGCCTATTTCACTGGATCCATGCCTTGCATTTCTCCCACACCTCTGAGCAAGCCTCATTCAGATTTTTGTTACTCCACTGTTTCTTTGCAGGGTGTAAAACCTTTGTGTCAAGCCCCAGCCCACAGCAGCTGAGAACTCTGTCCTGGTCCTCTGAGCTCTCACAGCATCTTTGCCTGCTGGTCTCTAGGTTCTCAGCCCTACAAATCCTCTTCCAGACTCCAAGGTAAGAAATCCCCATTCCAGTTATCAACTTTTGCTGGTGTTTGAATGTGTGGGGAGGATACTTCTTATTCAGTCCATAGCTTCACTTCTAGCACATGAGAACAAACAAGACTTGTGTGAAACAGACATGAAAATCATTCAGATAATTCCCAGTTTCCTGTTGGTTCTCTCCTGAAAAATGTTAAAAGGCTTTTCTTTAAAAAAACTTTCTTTCCAGTCAAATATATTTTCATTACACATAAAATTATATTCTCATTTTTTTTAATAATCTGAGCTGAGAAGATTATTCAATAAAAGGTAAACAGTCATCAGAGGGTGGCATAATCCTGAGTGTTGACAGGAACATTCCTGAGTGTTAACAGACTTCACTTCCCCAGCACCTGTGACCCCCGAAGCACTCATAAGCTTAATTTGCAATCCCCATGCACAAGCTGAGGTCGCAAATCACAGTGACTGAAGTTTATCATGATGTAATTACCCTGGTAAAATTACATTGACTCAGTAGCAAATGTCTTCAATTACAATTAAATTACAGGGACTACTCAGTAGCTTAAACAGATCTTCTTGACAGGTTTGCACACTGGGAAACATGAGTAATGT